TAAATCCCTGGCCCCTAAACATTCATATTTTTTATTGCTCCTAGTACTCTGGCCTTCCTTTAATTAAGATTAATGTGGTATATCTTTTCAATTCTTTTACTTTTAATGTAGTTTTATATTAAAATTAAGTTTCAAATAGAGGGGTGTGTTAGCCAACTTTTCGTGGTGGTGACAAAATACCTGAGACAGGTCAGCTTAAAGGAGGGAAGGTGTATTTTTGTTGCTTTCACGTCTGTGCTGGGGCTGCGCATTACAGCAGCAGCATGTGGTGGAGCAGAGCTCTTACCTCAAGGCAGCAGAATCAGGGAGAAAAATGGGAAGGGGTCAGGATTCTGGGTCCCTTCAAGGGTAGGCCCCAAGGATCTGCTTCCTGAGCGAGGCCCTGCCTCCTGGGACAGCCACTATGACATGAGAGCCACCAGCGGGACCAAGCCTCCCCTGGGTGAGCCTGGGGGCATTTCAGGTCCAGACTCTAAAAGAGGCACACGGTTATCTTTAAAAACCTAACTCGACCACCTTCTAACTGAGGTATTTCAACCATTTACATTATTGATGTAGCTGGTTTAAAACTACCATCATTCTATTTGTTTCTAAGTCACTGCTCTTTGTTACCTTTATCTTCTTTTTCTATCATATATGTATACTGATCTTACAGTCTACCTTCAAGTAATATTATAGTGCTACATTACATGTTTGGTTTTAGTCCTCATTATAGGTACTGTGATATGTGTTTCCCTGACAGCCTGGCAATTTTCGACTGGATGCCAGACATCGTGAATCTTACTTTGTTGGGTGCTGGATGTTTTTACATACTTTGTATTTCTAAGATTTGTTTGGGGTGCAGTTAAATGACTTGTACAGTTTAATCTTTTTTGGGTCTTGCTTTTAAGCTGCTTTAGTCTGGGGTGATTTTCCACTATTGAGCGGAAAATTAACAACAATAAAAATGTCTCCTCTGTGTATTTATCAAATATGAGGTTTTTTCATTCGGGGCAACAAGACCATTGAGGGCCCTGTAAGCACTGCGGATTAGTCACTCTACCCTTTCAGGATTCTTTTCCTGGCCTCAGGTAATTATCTGCCTGCATACTTGATTAGTTTTAACTGAAGACCTGGGGCACTCCACAGAACTCCAAAGGCTCCTCTCTGAACAATATTCTGCCCCCCAGGACTGGGCAAAGTCTAGCTGTCAGGTTGTCCCCAAATCCCCACTCCTGTGTTTTCCACTAATGGAGATGGCTGGCTCTGGCTGGGTTCCCTCCAGGGACAAGCAGGGACAATCATAGGCTCACTTTATTTGTTATCTCTCACGGACCACAGCTATTTGTTGCCCAGTGTGCAAGGCCTTGAGAATTACTATTTCTTATATTTTGTATGGCTTTTAAACAATTATTGGAACTGCATCGGAGTACTTTAATCTAATCAGAATCCTGGAATCTGTACTGGTTAATTTGGAATAGACCTGGATATTACCCAGTGGCTGACATTATTTCTTTTAGCTGGAATGGCACCATTTTTCAGTGAATACTTGTATCAGAATCTCTGATTAAAGGAGCCAGTCAATTCTCCTAAGAACCCGGGTATAAATATATTTATTTGAAGTAATGGGTTTTGCTAGAATTAGGTGGAATGCGTTGGGGATCCGCAGAAACTTCGTGGGATTCTAGATCGAGTTGTGTGGCTGTAATCTTGGCCAGCAACTTGTGATTTTCTTCTGTCTTATAGCACGGTTGGTAGCTGCTTTCTTTCCCTTCGGCCATCAGCATAATGGCCAGTTTGGTGGGGACAGAGGGCTGTGGGGGCTCAGCTGCTGGTCCTCACCAGCTGTGCTGCAGTTGGGCAGTGGCTCTGAGCCCTGGTTTCAGTGCTGCACCAAGGCCTCCCTGTTGGGAGAACATCCAGCGAACACACTTGAGTCTGCACTTGAAGCCACTTGTGGGCTACATGGCTGGAATTAGGAGTCTTAGTACACATAGTTTGTGTTTGCAAGACATTTTCTTCTGAAACCCCAGGGCTGAGACGCTTGTGGGTAAGGGTGTTTGGAGTACTGCTGCACCCTCCAAAGGGTACTGGGCGTTACTGGGATTCTGATGATTATTCCCTCAGTTTTGTCTTCTCCCTGCCACTTCTCTACCCTCTCAGGAGAAGTTTTCTGATTGCTTGATGGGAAGGCGCCTTCATCACTCTTCTTTCATAATATATTTATGAAGGGCAGTGACGAGCCAGGCGAAGTGCAAGGATACTGTAATCAACACATCTTTATTGAGTACCTGGCTCGGTGCCAAGTATTGAGCAGAAACAAAGACATTGGAGATCTGCGTACGAGTCTGAAGGAATTCACTCTCGACCCTGACAGTTGCCTGCAGTCATTTACCCACAAAACCAAACACAAAAACCAACAGCTTTGTACCTACGGGTGCTACAGGGGTCAGAAGCAGAGCAGGAGAGTCCCTGGTGAAGGGGGCTGGAGAACATGACTGACTGCTAATGATGGCCCTTCTGAAAGAAATCAGTCCCTTCACACTCAGAGAGCTGGGAGTAAGAGGACAAAGCTGCAGCATAGAGTGGACAGCATGGAGAGGGTGGAGCTCTATGGGCAGCCAGGGCCACGGTGTCTGGTGCCAGTGCAGAGCCCAAAGAGCATCACTGCACGGAACCAAGCGGGACAGTGCACCTTGCATGCTCCTGCATCAAACTGCAGGGCTAGCTCTCAATATTCCACAGTAGCCCTGTACAGGACATATGACCATTGCTGTTGGACAGAGAGGGAAGCAGAGCCTGAGGGTCTGAGGCTCTTGCTTAGTGATATGAATCGGAGAGAAGAGACCCATGAGCCAAACCACAGGGGCTCTGCATGTGCGGCAGGGTGGGAGGGGAGCAGGAGCAGCCTCTCTGCTGATGTCCCCAGGGCTGGAGTGACCCCACGGGATGAGGGGACCCTGCCCTGGAGCTAACGCAAGGCCTCACCCTGGCCAGGCAAGGGTGTCTCTCTGTACATTGGCCCATGAAGGGGAGAGGAGCAGGAGCCCAGCTCCCTGTAACTCCTTCCAGCCCAGGCAGAAAAGGGACCTGCTCTCTTGGGGGGAGGACAGGGAAAAGGAAGGGTGCACTGGGAAGCCTGCTTTTTAAGCCCGTTAAAGAAGAGCCAGGAGCCAAGCATCCGATTAACCTGACATCTCTTGCAGCCCAAATATCTGAGGATATAAGAAGGGAATTTAATATGTGGAGGCCTGGGAGAAAAGTGACTAATAGTGGAAAACAGCCCCAGTTTATTTAAAAAATAGGTCAGACTGAGAAAATCCAAGAGACACTTTCCCAGCAGTTCCTGGTGGAGGAGACAGAGGGAGCGCTGTGTGGAGCGGTGCCATTTTGATTTGAGGCAGGCCGTGCTGCTGTCCTGTACACAGCCGGAGGCGGGCACCATGCACGGCCACAAGCCAGGCTCCCTGACCCAGCCGCTGGGCACCCTGGTGACAACTGTGCTATTCGGGGACCAGCCAAGGTTGCCATGCCTGAAGGTGGCATAGCCCGCACCAGTCCCTGCTCCTCTTTCTGCTGGGGAGAAGCCCAGCTGCCTCCTCCAGAGCCCGTGGCCGGCGCTGGTGCTGCTGGCCCTGAGTGTGCACTGTTGGAGCTCTGGCATCAGAGGGCATGGAGAGGGTGGGTGGCCATGGGACCAGTGTCACGGGCATCGACCGTGAGCTTGCTGTGTGCAGACTTCGGTTCTCACCCCACAGGGCCTGACTCGGGTCCCGGGTGGTCTGAGTCCTGCCCCGTGGTGGGCCACACACATCGGAATATCGAGACTGCTCCAGGCAGCACCAGGTGGTTTCCTGCAGAACACTCGTCACTAGACGTGCTGATAGATCTCCCAGGAAGGAAGAGTGGCACCGCCATGCATTCAGGGGCCCAGATGCCCCCGTCCCTTCTTGGGGAGTCACAAGTCATTCCAGCAGACTGGAGAGTGAAGGCCGTTACAGAGAAGGACCTCAGCTGGCTTCCCGGCACACTTCTTTAGTGGCCGGGTCCATGGCTGCAGGGTGAGAAGTGGCAGCAGGACCCCGGGCTCTGGCACTGGGCCCCTGGGAGGCTTGCTGAGCTCTGCCTGCCCTGGGATGCTGAGGCTGGCCGCCAAGTCCAGGGAGCACGCTTTGAGAGCCACTCCCTCCGAGCCCTCCCTGGCAGCACCCTCGTGCAGCACACAGAGGGGACCGGAAGGTGGTATGAGTGTGCAGGCGCAGGACCAGGAGAAGGGTCTTCTGGGAAGCGCAGGCTCGAGGCTCTCAGGCCTGTGTGGGAACTGCTCTGCCGGGGCCAGATGGGTGAAGCAGCAGGCGGTGGCCGCTGCGGGGTGCCTGGCCCCTCCCCTGGGGACGGAGCAGGGGTCTAGAGGCTTTTGTGCCCGAGAAGGCCCCCACTGGGGCCATGAGGATGGCAGTGGGTGCCGGCACGGAGGCAAGTGGGGGCTCTGGACACCCAGTGCAAGACAGCGGCTTGCAAGACCCGCAGCGTCCAGGCAGCCAAGGCCCTCCCCAGACTCTTGGGGCTCTGGACCCGAGTAAGAGACCACGAGCTAGCGCTGTGTCCTTCGTGAGGTGAGGCCACTTCACCTTGCTCTTCGGGGACTGTCCTCCTCCCAGGTGACAGAAGACATGGGTGCCAGAGAGGAGGGTGGGGCTTGGGCCATCTGTGCCCCGGGTGGCCCTGTAGGCCACACCTTGGAGATGTGATGGAAGCCCTAGCAGAGCCTGCCTGGCATTCCCCGGCCAGAGTGCCGTCCTCCGGAAAACTCTTCCTCTCTGAAGACAGAAGCTGGAGGAGCCCGCTCTGCACGTGAGCATCCGTGTGGGGCTGCAGCTTGCACTGCCTCAGCAGTGAACTCAGGTGACACGGGGAGCCAGGGGTGCTGGTGGAGGGGCTGGGTGTGAGGACGGGCGAGGTGGGCAGGCAGAGGCAGCTGTGGAGACGGCACGGGGCCTGGGCAGAAACGGCCCCAAGCCCCAGCCGCGGAAGCCCTGTTCTCCCCTCTACGGCTCTCCGAGCCAGGCAGCTGCTGCTGCTGCGGATGGACGGTGCCGCTTAGGAAAAGCTCTCTTGACATTTTGAGTACAGAGCAGGATTTGGCTCCTCTAGTGGAGCCTCTTGTTCTCGGGAAAACTGTTTTAAAGCTTTGGCTGGTGCTGGTAGGAGCCATTTATAGCCAAGAAGCTTGGGCTCGTGCCAGCCACTTGGTGCAGAAAGCCAGCTGCTCCCACCCTCTGCGGCCCCCTCTCCCCGGGCCCACCACCCCCTGTCGCTGCTCTTCCTCGTCTCTTCCTCCCCTCCCCACTTCACCTTTCCCACTGTCTCAGAGCTTTTCAGTTCCAGCTCCCCGCAGCTTGCTCCTGTGACCCTTTCCTTACGAGGTCTGTTTCTCCCTCGAGGCCCGGAGCCTGTCTGCTCCCTTTTATGCTCAGCCACCTTGGACGTGCCTGCCTGTGTCCGTCTCCACTGGAGCAGTCTCTTCTGCTCGGTCCTGAACATGGCCCAGCCTTGCCACCACTTCTGAGCTTGGCCTGGCTCTGACAGAGGATTGGTTAAGGCTTGGACTCAACTGAGCTCTCTGTGGCATCGGTGTTAGGTGCGCGGGCTTTGTCGTCAAACAGATACTGGTTTACATCCTGGCTCTGTTACTTGCTAGCGCTGGGCTCTGGCAAATGACTAAAGTGTTGTTAAGCTTTAGTTTTCTTGGCTGGAAATTTCAGCACCTCCTAGAGCTAGTATGAAGATTCAGGAAAGGAAGTTTACAGCCGACTTAGCACTGGGGGGCTCATTTGGGGTGAGGTCTGTGAGACCTCCTCATCCTTGTCCGTCATCTGCCCTCGTTGTCAGAAGGAGATGGGTAAGGTCCAGAGTGCTCTTCCTGAGTCCCCACCCTGCCTGGCAAACCCCGTCTGTCCCATGAGGACCAGCCCCATGCCCCCACCCCAGCCCCTCCTCCTGTCTCTGTGCCCTTCTGTAGCCTCTGTATCCAGTGGGCCTGAGCCTGGGCCCCAAAGGGATGGGAGGATGAGGCACACCTGCTGAAGAGGCCTCGGAAAGGCCAGCCTGGGGACGGGCTGTGTTTGAAGTCCTGGTAGCAGGTGGCATTGAGAGTAGAACACAGAGTCACAAAATCTGGCAACAGGCAGTGATTCCGCATATCAGGAGACAGACTGCAAGAGGAGAGCCGTGTCCGAGCCCTCGGGGAGGTGGGGAGAGAAGAGCGAGACAGGGCCCCTCCCCTGCACTGGGCCACCGGCACCCAGGCAGGAGCGCGGTGGCAGCGCTGGACAGCAGGGCGGGCACAGCCAGGACTGTTGGACGGCAGGGCTGGGAGCAGGGTGAAATGTCCGGGAAGGGACCCTGGATGGAATCACTGGGCCATCCCTGCAAGCACCACTCCTGTCTTCCCAGGTGATGATGACACAAGGCATTTTGAAGTTCAGAGACTTCTTTCCCTCAAGGGCTGTGACTGCTCAGTGTGGCCCAGGCCGGAGTCAGTTTTTTCGACCTTGCCGAGGAGACCTCCGACCTCCCCAGGACAATCGCCCACGCTCCAGACCAGGAGCGAGCAAGCAGATGAACCAGAGGCCAACCTTTCAGCAACCACGTCAAGGCTGTGTTTGTGGCTGAACTGTTTTCATGGCGAGGTGCCTGGGTTCCTGTACAGGTTCCTACTGTCCTCTATACAGGGCTCCCGCATCGTGCCTCTCCCTGGCAGGTGTGTCCAGCAGGCATTTCTGGAATTGAAAGCATCATCCTCTGTAGCCGGATGCCCTGGGGTTGGGGCCACTGCCCTTTCTCGTCCACTCCTGAGAAAAGCTCCTTTGTCAGCCCACAGGGTGCTGAGCTGGACTGGCAGGAAGTGGCCCATGGCTGTGGCTCTCGAAGCCAGTCCCTCCTTCCAAATCACCCATCACTTTGCCCTGTGTGATGTGGCCCGTGCAGATGTGTTTTATGTGAGCTGCTGCAGACAGAGACTCGGGGAGCCCCATGGGGAAGAGACCTTAGAATCTGAGCTGAGCGATAGCACAGGGTGCCGGATGCCCTGTGACCTGGACTGGGCACAACTCCTAGCCCAGCGAGGAGTTTTTCTCTCCCTCATGCGCTCAGGTGGAGGGGAATAAAAAGGACTGATGTGTGATGCGTTTATGTATCAGCTTCCTGTGATGAGCGTACTCACTGCAGGGCGAACAGATTAATCAAATAAGTGAAAAATACAATTCACTGGAGCCACTGCAGAGTCAGCAGCACCACCACATTCCTCGGGCTCCACGGGTGACCGCGCTGCCGTCTGTGCCCTGTCCTCCAGGGGCTGTCTTCGCCTCAGCCCTTTCCTGCACCCTGGGGTGCAGCGCGTGGCCAGCTCGGCTGGAGGGGTGAGGACACAGTCGCCTATATCACAGTTGCTCTTCCTCTCCCAGCCTCTCTCCCTGCCCACCCTTGCCTGCTGCTGCCCTGGGCCTGTTCCTCGGGAGCCCTTGCCGTCTGTCCCTGTCCCCGCAGGTGGCTTCCAATCAGAGCAGCAGCCTCCACTTCTCTCCGGAGGTCTGGGGCTACATAGTCTTTGCTTTTTCAATATTATTCTTTTTCACTATTTACAAAAATGGTGTGTGTTAATGGCATATATTCTAGAAAATATAAGCAAGCACAAAAAGGGAAGAATTAACTATTCATGACCCAACGCCCTATGGCAGCCGCTGCCAATTCTGGGCCCTTCCTGCATCTCTTCTTGTGCAGTCCTCGGGGAGTGGGTGGGAATCACAGTGGCCTGTGACTCCTGTGACTCCTCCACATGGGGAGTTGCTTCGTGAACACCTACTGAATGCCTGCTACAGCAGGGCACAAACAGGCTATAATTTTTAAAGCACAATCACACTGTGTATTTTTTCCTACTTGTGTCCCTCAGCCAACCCTTCATTGCACTTGAATATTTGTGTTATTAAATGCTCTTTACATAATATTTTCGATGGCTGAGTAGTATTCTTTGGTGTGGATGTGTCATGGTTGATTGGATCAGTTTGGTTTCTGGAACACCTAAACTGACTCTTGTTTTTCCCATGACGAACAGCACCATCATAGAATTCTTCCACTACATATGTAGGATGGTCTACAATTCTCTCCTCATGATAAATTAAAAATTGCAATCATGTGTTAAATCACTTATAAGGCATTTTATCAAGCTTCCTTCAAAAACTTTTGACCTATTTACATTTCCACAAGAAACTTATACAAGTACCTGTTTTTTGGAAAGCCTTACAAATCTAGAGATTTATGCTATAGCTAGGGAGAAGGAAATAAGTTTTTTATTTTGAATTTACCTGGTTTCTAGTGGGGTTCAGTGTTTTTATTGGATTTTAATTTGCCATTTGTATTTATTCTTGGTTCACATTAAGTTGGGTACTAAGCCCTTTCTTCTTGGCATGTCAGGGCCCTCTCCCTGTGACAGGCATTAACTGCTGTCTGCTGTGTGTGTCAGGAGATGCTCCTCCATTTGTCATTTGCCTTTCTCTTTTGTTTATGGTATTTATTGACTGGAACTGCTTTAATATCTGCTTGCTAGACACCTTTTCTTATATGACTCAATGACATTTCAAACTCCACATATCCAAATTGAAATTCATTATTTCCCCCACCCCAACCTGCTCTTCCCGCTGACTTGCTTATTTCTGTTAATGTCACCACTATTTTCCTACTCACCCAGGCTTGAAATGTGGAAGTCATCTTTGATTCCAGCTTCTCTCTTCCCCCATGTTCTGTCAGCTGCCAACTCCTATAGATTCTATTTCTGCAGTTCTCTGGCAGGCAGCCCCTCCAACACCCCAGTAGCTCTCATTCTCATTATTTTTTGCCTGGGCTTTGAAAACAGCCTCCTCGGTCCACTCCTGGCCTCCCCAGCCCCAGTGCCTCTGCTTCCCTTCCTTGCCCTCCCCTGCATGCTGCTGCAGCATTCGTCTTCCAAGGGCAGAGCTCAAGCACAGAACTCCCTGGTCACAAACGCTGACAGCGCCCTACTGTCTGGGTATTTAATCACCACCTAGCCTGACCACAGTTTCTTTCAGCCCGATCGTCCAGCCGTGCTGCTTCCCAACAAGCTCACACTCCTCCACCGCTTCCCACCTTTTTGCTGAAATCAGCTCTTCCTCTTTGATTCCCTCCCAGCATCTCCCCCTGCCAAAAGCCATTCTAAAATCTCCCCCTTACCCTGCTGCCAGCTATCCTGGGATTTCCTGACTCTCCAAGCTGAAGTAAAATCTGTCTTTTGCATCCTCCAACAAGTTCCTTGCATGTCTTTTGTGGAACACCCCTTATTCCAGCTTCCAGTGTGGCCCAGGGGCTGTCAGGGTCTGGAAAGCAGCCCTCGGAGAGCGCGGCTCCCCTGTTCCTGTGTCTTCCCACACCCCCTGCTCTGGCAGGTGCTCTGTGGTGTTTGTAGGACTGAAAGCAGAGCCTCTGGTGGCTGAAGGCTCTGGATCAGAGGCCACTGCTATTTCTCACTCCTTTGCAGCCTTCTGGAAGAGGGCGTGTCTGTCAGCCCACAGGTGGAATACAGTTCGCTCCGCAGGAGGCTGATGTAGGCCAGGAGCGTTGGCCAGCAGGGGCTGGCCCACAGTCACCTTTGTCCAGCACCTGTGGCTCCTGAAGTCAGTGCGCCCACCCCAAATCCGCTCATCTTTTAGCTTCCTACTGTGGGTGGCACATAGCAGACACTTTGTAAATTGGCTACTGGGGGAAGCGACCCCAGGAGCCTCGTGGAAAGGGGAAGTAGGACTGAGTTGAATGATAGCTCAGGGTGCTGAGGCCCTGTGACTCTGACCGTGCACAGTGCCTGGACCAGCTTGGGGGTTTTCCCTCCTAATGTGTTTAAATGGAGTCGGTACGGGGGTCAGCCATGCAAACAGAGCCTTCTTCAGCGCTAGAGGTGGCTCTGCAGCCCACACGGGAGTGTGCAATTGACACAGTCTATTTTTAGCCTCCTGGAGACCGTGACCAGCATCCTGGAGCCGAGGGGGGCACCTGCTGCATGCTAATGAGGCAGCCCTGCTCGCCTCTGCTGCCAGCCCAGGCGCTTGCTGACCTGAAGTCTGATGCTGCTAAAATGGGAAGTCTCCTCATTTCCCAGAGGCGGTAACCTACATACACCAGGCAGGCGGGACCATCACCCCCAGCCTGCTCCCCTCGCCCCAACACTGGGCACACTGGGGGCTGTGCTCTGGCTTGAAGGAGGGTGGAATCATTGGATTTCTTGATCTGCTCTGTCCTAGGGTCCCATTTCTTTGATAGTAAATCTGACCTGACCCAGCTCATGGATGAGAAAATTGAGACACAGAACAGGGGTGTGATTTATAAGATTAGAACAATAGTAGTAATAATAGCAAGTCCAATGAAATGCTTACTATGAGCCAGACAGAGTTCTAAAGTTTTTACACCTATAAGCTCATCCAAATGTCTTGATGATTCTTTCAGGCAGCTTTTATTACATGCTCTAATTTACAGAGGAGGAAAATGAGGCATGGTGGTGACAGGTGAGCACCCAAAGTCACATAGCCGGTGAGTGGCAGAGCTGTGGCTCAGAGCCAGGTCACAAGGTCCTGGCGTTTGAACCCTTGATGACCACTGTTATCCACTGTCAAGATCTGTTTTTAACTATGAGCGCCAGGGTGGATCCTGGACCCCCGATTCTCAGCTACTGTGTTTCTGTCTTTCTCTCTCTCTCCCTCTCTCTCTGCCTATCTCTGTCTCTCTCAGTCTCTCTCCCTCTCCCTCTCCCTCTCCCTTTCCCTCTCTCTCTCCCTTTCTCTCTCCCTCTCCCTGGGGTCTAACTCAGGCCCTTTTGCATGCTAGGCAAGCGCCCTGCCTCTGAGCTGCACCAGGGCCTGTGTTGAAGCTTTGTGTACTGGGTCTCTTGGAGGCCAGGGAGAGGAAGTGTTCTGCAGTAGTGTCTGAGCTTCCCTCTGGGCTCCAGGAGCTCCCCAGCTTTGTCTCCGTCTCTCTCCTCTCAGCCTGCAGGATATGGCCCCCAGACAGTGATGGGCAGCAGCGGTGGGAAGCTGCGCTAGGAAGTGTTAAGAGTGTCCAGAGGGGGCTCCGCCTCTTAATGTCCCACTGTCTCCTACACAAGAGCCCTCAAGGGACGAGCCACACCCAGGACCACAGCAGCCTTAAGGCCAGGAGGATCCTCCTGGAGTCTACACCCTTAGCCACTGCTCGAGCTGTACATCTTTTTGTCAAGGATTTCCTGTTTCCCTCTACAGGAAAATGCTGTTTTCCCCCATTTAACAGCTATGGAAACTGAGGGCTAAATCACCTGGGGTCACCTAGCTCATAAGAGCTGCTGGGCTCAGTCTGGTCTGGTTGGTTCAGTAGCAGCAGGGCACCTCCCTGCCATTCTCAGCTATCAGTCTGACTGAGTGGAAGCGGGGCAAGGTTGCTGACCCCTCAGAGGGCTGCTACTGTGGCCAGCTGGGCTCTGGGAGGGAAATGGAGGGGAGAGAGACCCTGGAGGGTGGGGCCTCCTGCTCCACTAACCCCAGGCCCTTTTACCTCCTGCAGGTGAGCAGTCCCCCCTCCCAGACCCCTCAGCCTGTGGTCCCACCCAAGCCCGTGCAATGTGTCCATCATGTGTCCACTCAACCCAGCTGCCCGGGCCGGGGCAAGATGTCCAAGCTGCTGAACCCAGAGGAGATGACATCAAGAGATTATTACTTCGACTCCTATGCTCACTTTGGGATCCATGAGGTAAAACACCTAGGGGCTGGGCGAATGGTGCATACAGAAGCTGGGTGTGGTGGTGCATGTCTGTAATCCCCTCACTCTGGCAAGCAAAAGCAGAAGGATTGAAAGTTCCAGGCTGGACAACTTGGTGTGACTCTGTCTCAAAAGAAAAATTTTAAAAGGCTGGGGATGCAGCTCAGTGCAAAGGACCTGTGCTCAACCCCCAATACTGAACAAAAAAAGAGGCAACGTAGTATACTCAACATCGTGTATTCAGATGTATGTTACGCTGTGCCATCGTAAAGCGAATTCTCTCAGTGTCCCAGGTTTCCGGGCCCCTGTCCTGTGTACCCTCTGGGAGGGTGAGGGCTGACCCGGAGCAGGTGAGAAGCTCAAGTGTGTGTCCATGTACCTTGCCCTGGTTAGGTCTCCGGAAGTTCTTAGGTCTAAATGCCTGGAACATGTGTGCTAGACATGGAGCAGAATGGAGCCTCCCGACGAGAGGCAGCTCTGCCACGGAGGGACATAATGGCAGCCACAGCCTGTACCCCATTATCCCATCATGCTCCCAAGCCACTCCAGACAATCAGCTAGCACTTACTGTCACTAAGTGCCAGGGAGAGATCCAAGCTCACTATACGTATCATGTCACTTAATCCTACTCACCTGTAAAGAAAATATTTCTGTGATCCCCTTACAATATGAAGAAATTATTGAAAAAGGAAAGCATTTGCTTGCTATGTAACAGCATTTTCAAGGCAAGTCTCCAAGCTCTCTCTTCCATTTAGATACTGCAGTAATCTGCCTACTTCCAGGGATGGCACTGGGTTCTTGGGAGGGTATTTTGACAACAGTAGCCTGCATTTGTTCGTTAAGTAGTGCTTACTGAATACTGGGTGTTGTTGCATACATTGTGTATCATTGGCTCAATTGTTCTTCATGTTAACACTACAGGTTAGCATGATTGTTTGTCCCATTCTATAGATAGTCTTGGATCTCAACACTCAGATCACTCCTCATTATTTATGATATTTCTTTGCACAGAGCTTGGCTAGTGAGCACAGAGCTAGAACTTTAAATTCACATTTTGGTTCCACGGACTTTATTCCTAACCACCATGCAATACAGCCTTGAAAATAATCTTCCTTCCTCCCTTCCTTCCTACCCCAGCCCCATGGAATCATTTGTTCCTGTAGCCCATCTGGAGGTAGAGGGTAGAGGAGCCCTCAGTTGCTTCTGAAATAGAATTCGGCCTCATCTGCTCCAGGAAGGCTCAAACTTTGGTGAGCTTGCCTTGAGCACCACCCTCTGTATCTAATCACTGGGCTGGGGCCAGAGCTCAGTTCTAAGGTCCTCGCCCAGGAAGAGAGCTGATACCATGTGATGGCAGATGGTGAACTGCTGCACCTTCCTTTACTCTGCACCCCTTTGAGGTGAGGATGGTGGTGCACAAGGTCCTAACCTAGGCCTGTGTGAGGCTCTCAGAGGGAGAAGGCACTCTCTCAAAAGCTATATCTCCTCAAGACCCTATTCCTAATTCAAGGACATGTCCATGGGAGAAGTTTAAATGGCCTGTGGCTCTGGGAACCCACTTCTGGGCAGATTCCTGGAAGAGGGACCCCAAGCATCTCCCTTTGGGGCTCCTGAAATTCCCTATTAGACAGAACCAACTCTGACACACACCTCAAGGCCTCCCATTTCCTGGCACACGTGCCTCACAAAAGTCCCTCTGGATTCCGTGGCAACCCTGGACATGCTCTCCCGGGCTATTTTGATCTCCGAATTTCTTCAGGCTTTGGAGTCCTAGCCTGGGGCCCAGTGCTTGGTATGCTATCTGCTTTGCAATGGTATGTTGATACAGCTGCTAATCCAGCCTCTCAGGGGACACCTGGTCAGCACAGGACACCAGAAGGGTATGTGGACACCAAGGGCCACCAACTACCGAGCCAGGTTCCCTCAATTTTGCAAGAAAATAAAACTTGAGCATAAAGATATATAAACATAGTGCAAATGGAACAGCAGACTAAAGGATGAGCAGATCATGGTGTCCTTAGCAAATTAGACCCTTCTGACTGGGAAGTACTTCTGCACATCTAGCTTAAATCCCTTCTGCTGCTGCTCCAGGCCATTCTGCAGCCTGGATGCTAGGGAAATGCATGGGTCCTTTGATACAGGAATGGCTAGAGAGCCCTTCTTCTCCTATAAGACACCCCTCCACCCTGTTTTCGGTCTCCAAGATCATCTAGCATGAAAGGCTGGGGACATGGATCTGTGCAGCAAAAGGGTCCTCTCATGTCCTGTTATCAAGCATCAGGGATCTGATTGTGCTAGACAGAAGGCAGCAATGCCTTCCCTCCCTCTGCACAGGGCTTGATTTTCCCATCCAGGGAAAGTGGCCTCTTGGCCGTCCTCTCCCCAGGGGTGATGGGGCGGCACTGCTGGCAGGCGATTAACAGTGCTCAGTGTATGTTTTGGAAACATGGGATGATGGAATGGCTGGAGCAGTAGATATACAAACAAGGAATGGCCACAAGGTAACGCTGGACACTTCTGCTCATGCCATCCGACAGCCCTTTCTGAGATGGGCAGCACCCAGCTTCTGGAGGGCAGAGCCCAGCGAGAGGAAGTCGGCAGTCTTTCCAACCCAACCCTCTCTGAAGAGAATGAAATCCTGAACTGGAGCAGAGGTGACAAAGGTGTGCATCCTGGGGCTTTCACCTCGAGAGCAAGGACAGCTCCATGACCTACCAGAGCCCAGCTCCGCTTCTCAGCCACTCTGGGTGTCAGCACCGCCCTTGGTGCCTTGCCTGGAGCAGAGACCCAGCCAGTGTGGCTGTGCTCCCAGTGCTTGGCCGGGGTGCCATTCTCGTGGCCGGCCAGCTCCCTCCTTTTGACAGTCTTGCTATAGGTTCTACTGAAATAGAATCTCTGGGGCCTCATTTCCTGGCAATTAGTGGATGAGCTGTCCTAAGTTCAGTGGGAAGGAAAACTGAGAGGCAGAGTTGTCCCCAGCAGGGACTGGGAACTGTTTTCAATAGGGTGGTGCCTTCTCATGTGCACTGTCTCACTGTCTCTGGATTGTGGGAATGGCTGAAGTGTGGTGCAGGAGGGAAGAGAGCTTTTCTTAGCACCGAGTAGGTAGGGGAGGCCTTGCAGTCACCACCCTGTCCTCCCAGCATTTACAAGGGCTAAAGAGGTGACAGAAATCAGTTAGTTGAGTAGGGCAAGTGGGGCACTCCTGATTAGCAGTAATAGTATCACCAGGGGTACTCAGCCAGGCCGGGAGAGGCAGCTAGGGCCTTCAACTGTGGCTATGGTTGGAGATCTCTGACACTTTTGTCCTTACAGTGGGCCCTCAAGTTATAACAGGCCTGACACATGAACAACTGTAGTTACAACCAGAATTTTAGTTTTAACTTATGAACAAAGTCTTGAGTTACAACCCAAATACCGGCTGCTTGTACTTCCAGATGGTCTCAGATACAAATTTAACCCTTACAGAGTTCTGGAAGGAACATGACAACATCCTTTCCTGGGTGGGGTTAACTGAGAAATCCTGGGCCCATGTCTCTAAGGACACTGAGACCTGCCTGTGTACAGGAGAGGGACTTTGATGGCTGTGGAGAGGAGCCTGACCCTTCAGCTGATCAACTTGAGGTACAACCAGCCCTTGGGAACGAATTGAGTTTGTAAGTCAAGGGGCCACTGGGCCCACTGTATTTTCCTCCACTGCCTTCTTACTCTAAAGAACTTCCTTGGATAGACAAAGGAAAGAGCTGTGGTTATCAGAGAGATCCAGAGCTGACACTTGTAAGAAGTATACTGCACTTTAAAATCATTGTGATAACCGTATGAAGTAGGTGCTATTCTGACTCCATCATCCAGGTGAGGAAACTGAGGCACAGAAGATGAATGAGGTTCCTGAAGGCTCAGCAGCAGTGAACTCGTGACTTGACTGCAGGGATCCTGGCTCCAGCACCCGCATGCCTCACACTGCTCCGACCTCCTGTTCACTGAGCATTCTTGTGCTCCGTGCTCCGTGCCAGACCCAGGGATCCCGTCTTGCACTCTGTGCTGTTGGGTCTCAAAGATCTCCTGGGGAAGAGGGGCTTGAGCTCCCTCTGAAAGTATTTAAAGCTGGACGTGAACATGATCAAATTAAACCCCGGCTTTATTTGACTTCTAATGACATAAAAGATAGCAACTCTGGGGCAGAAGAGGAAGTAGTAGCTGGGCTTCAGAAGGGTTACTGCTTCCTTTACACCTTCAGTATCTCGCCAGAATCTCCCCCGTGATCCACCCTAACTGAGGGAAAGTGAGTTCTGGGCCATGCCGTTCAGCTTGGCCTGGGAGACACATGGGTGTGCAGAGCTCCAAAACACACGAATGAAGCAAGGCCTGCAGAGCTAGAGGGGGCAAAAGACAACCCAATCACAGGCAAGGATTTGTAACACTGTTCTGGTAACTGATAACAAACACACAACAAAGTCAATAAAGATGTAGAGAATTTAAACAGTACGAGCAGCTTGACCCAATCGTCCTGTATGGCATTCTTGAACTACAGAGGACACGTGGAAGCATTCAGTAGGGGGGTCATCAGTCAGTCACAGGACAAATCTCAGTCAACTTCAAAGACTGAAATCATGAAGAGTAGCCTTTGTCCTGGTCATAATGAATGAAATTGGAAGCCAAAACCAGTGTTATCAAGAAAAGCTCTAAATAACTGGAAATTAGGCAGCACTCTTCTTAATAATCCATGGACCAGGGAAGAAAACACAAGAGAAAATATTTTGAAATAAATGACAATAAAAACACAATCTATAAACATTTGTGTGATGCAGCTAAAGTAAATTTTAGAGGGAAATTCATAGCTTTGTATGCTGATATTAGAAAAAAAGAGAGATATACAATCAATGATAAAAACTTCCACTCTATAAAACTACAGAAAGACGGACAGGTAAGACTCGAGGAATTAAATAATTAACCTGGTAGCCAACATTGATGAAATAGGAATCAAACAATAG